TAATGTAAAAGTGAAAATGCTATGTTGTCTGTATGCCATAAAGACAAGCTGATAGACCTTAAAACTTGTAATGGTTTTGGCTTGCCCTGCACTTATATGGGTGGACTTCAGTGTTTTATACTTCATTATGTCAACAAATAACCTGTAACTAATTTGGTTTGAGGAAGCTGCTGCTTTTGGATTTATGCCCTGTCAAGTGATCAGTTCTGACACAGCCTAAGCTTTTCCGAGCTCTTCCTCTGTAAAGAATAAGGAAAGATGGCAGCATGAGTGTGAGAAAGAAAATACACTATATGGCTTTTTGCAGCTGGAATAGCTGACAACATACTAATCTCAACAGTCAGTGTTAATCTGAGAGCCCTCAATTTGTCTCAAGTATTTGAATTGGCAGTTGTGTAGGATAATTTCTGTTTAACCTCTGATACCATTTTCCTTGAAGTTAATAGAAAAATCTTGGTATTTGACACTCAAAGATCAATCATTAGCTCAGTTGTTCTGCAAACAAAATACATCCATTTTGTACCAATTTCTAGTCGTCAGTAGAACTGTGTAGTGCAGATGGCTTAGCCTACAGCAAGAGCTTAGGGAAATAAGTTGATTCAAGTAAAAGGAGTTAGGCATTTGAGAAGAGAATGCTCAATTCTAGATTATGCTCTGAAAATGTATTTTTTTATGGCCTCCTAGAAATTTCTGCTGGAAAGGGGCCTTATTTTGCACAGTCTGCTCTCTAAAAAGAAACCAACAGTCACTGTGTTACTGGAAGTTAGGAAAATGATCTCTTGGTTTTAAAAAGAATGTGTGGGGATTTTGCATTTTTTCCACGTATTTTATCTAACATTCTTTCTGCATGATGTTTGGGAGCTGAAATACCACTTACACAATTCCAAGGAATAACTTCTGAAGAAAACTAATTATACTATTTCCCACAGCAATGCTTAATATGCAAAGATTGCTTCTAAATCTGCTTTTCAGGTCATCCTTTTCTTCACACTTCACAATTTTGACTTTCAATGAGGTAAATTCACCCTTAAGCTCATTAGTTTCCATAGGAAATGAATTAAAAAAAAAGTTAAGTGTGCCATATGAGGTTTAACATCAAAGACGTTTCTAGACAGACCATGAATATATGTTGAAGCTATATTTGGTCTCTGTTGGGTATTCTTTTCAGTGCTGCCCAGTTTCAGTTGCTTGCTTTCGTTGGATAAGTGTTGGCTTAGGACTTATCTTTTTTCCATGCAATCCAAATTAATCTTTAATCGTTTAGAATAAAATCTAGTAGCTGACTGGACTATATGAGTCAAATGTGTTTTGTTATGGCTCACGTGCTCTTCTCGTAGAAAAACAAAACAAACAAAACCCCAAAAAAACCAAAACCCAAAGAGTTAGGAGTAGGATGCTTTGTAACCAACTGCTCTTGAAGAAAAGTTAGGTTTCTGAAAGGAAGCTTCAGTTCGTGTTTCTGGATTTTTCTTGCTACCTTGAATCCTCAAAGTTAGGATGCATTAGCTGCATGTTAAATCTTTTGTATTGTTTTCCCATTGAGCCTCCATTCTCAACCATTTTAACTACCTGACAGTAAGAAACCTAGCCCACAGGATTCTCGTCACCTTGTAGGACTTCAAGCTTTTATTTTGAAGCTCTGTTTCAACAATTAAAAGATAGGGAATGCTCACGTGTTTTTGTTCTATGCAATCTACCTAACACTTTAGCTAGAGGGATTGCCTCGTATATTCCAGAATACTTAGTTTAAAAATTATTCAAATCCAGTTTTACTGAAAATAATACTCCTTCTGTTTGTTAGCTCCATGACATCTTTGGACATTTTTTTCCCATGCAATTGTGATTGAAATTATTTTCCTCCTTGTCAGCAAGTGTTTAGCATGCTTATCCCATTTGCTGCTTGGTTACAGTATGCAAAATAGCACCGTAAACTGTCTGCTTTACCACAAAGGTGAAACTGAATCCAGAGCGCATGCATGAGCCGTGCGGTTTTCTGTCATTAAAAAGCGGTAGCATAGCTCTCAGAAGTAATATAGCTGTTAGGAAGAAAATAAATGCCATAAGTAATATTATTTAGAAACTAATCCTGGTCAATATTTACAGCTGAGAGTATTAGAGCACTTTATTCCACCCAGAGCTTTCAGAATTTCTTAAATTTGCACTATGACTTTTTTGAAGAGTGTGGGTGGAAGCTGTTTCTGTTCCTGACCGGGGTGGGGGGAGAGGAGAAATTCAAAGCAGCTCCTTTTAGCTGTAAGAGGAGGAAAATCTTTTATAAATTTTTTGAAGGTACAAAATAAAATACAAGTACCTCTTTAGCAGTTAATTTTAGTGAGCTGCCTAAAAAAAAAATAGGAACTTCAAAAGGCAAGCCAGGAACTTAAGCTGAAGTCTCCCATACATTGTACTCCTGGCTTTTCAGGGCTGACCAAGAGCGAGGGGATCGTCTTTCTGTACCTGCTGCGTGCAACAGTTGGGCATTAGGCTTCAGTACCTTCTACTGGCAGAAGACATCACCTTTGAATAGTTTGGTGTATCAGCCACACCTGGTCTGAGAATAAGCGGCATTGTTCAATACTGCATATTCTTCATGAGGAGGGCCTCTCATATATATAAATATATATATATTCCATGCTGAACATATGATATCTGATTTAGTGTCTCGTGGAATTTGCTGTATAGTGCTGCAACAGGTAATGATGGAAGGGGTTCGGAACGCTAAGATAAGCAGTACGTGAAAGCAAATCCAGGCTCCCCCAGAAACCAGCCTCTGGCAGCCATCTTCACAGGTTTAGAAAAATCTGTTCTTTGGTTACATGGAGAGGTAGCAGAGGAAGTCAGTGCAAACAACCGCCTCATTATCTCGCTAGGCTGTTGAGGGGAAATCAAACAGCGTGTAATCCTTGGGCGCTTGCTGACTGCAGGATGCAGCAGCTTTTGTGCTCTTCCCATTGCAGCAACTGCAAGGGAGGTCGCAGTACTGGTGTACACCGTGCAATGTATGGGTGCGCTGAGGCAACGCCCATACACCTCAGTCTTTCAGTGAACTAAACAAAAGAAGTGTCATTACATTGCAGAAATGAATAGTTAAACGCCCTTTTATTGAAAAAGCCATTTTTTCCAGCCCTTCAAATGTAGCTATTGTCAATAACTGAAAGCAAGTACTTTTCAAAAGTAGATTTTAGTACTTCAATCTTTAGAAATGTAATAAGTAACAGAACACTGACTCTGAAGTACAATGTATACGAATTTAATGCAGTGGAAGTTATTGTTAGAGTACTGAAGACTCCTAAATATTTTCTTAAATCATAAATATATTAACTCTTCCCTTTGAATCATGTAGCATTAATTTAAAAACAAAAACAACAACAACAAAAAAACCTCCAACTTGGAGCCAGACTTGTGTGCTTCAGAACTACTCAACACAGTCTGCTAATAACAAATGCGGAGACTTGTTTGCTGTTCCGTGTTTGAGTCAACTGCTAAAGGGCATACATGTTTTTGCTTCCACTGGTACCAGATGCAAGGCTTCTCTGTCTACGTAGACACGTAAACACACACAGAAAATATAAGGCAAAACCTACAGTCTTGTGTTGCATATCTCAGACACTGATAAGTGGCAAATGGAAGCTGTAATAGCAGGTGAAATCATAAATAATTCAGTTAAATATTTCAGGAATCAGACTTAAATGCCTTCACACAGAAGGATTAAGATAACACGATGCACACTGTAGCTAATATAGGGGGAAACTTGTAGGGAAGATTTCTTTCTGACACCTGTTTTATGACATACTATTGCTTCAAAACAATGTGTTGTGTCAGCTGCAGAATACACTTCATAGGGAATTTCTTTCATTTAAGAAAGCAAAATAATTCTAAGTTGTGGGCTGAATATGCAGGAGTCTTGCAAAGGTAGGAAAATATCACCAGGAGGCAATTAAAATACTGATGGGGTTTTTAAAGGCAATAGGACTAGCAGGCTTCCCTTTGGTTCCGTGGTCCATTGAATGCCCTGGATTTGTAATCAGGGAGGCACAGCCACTTAGTAGTTCATTTCTAAAGAAAGTGAGCACTCAAAAGTTTGCCCCACTTACTTTTGTCTTTTAAGTCTTGCCTGCTAAAGGAAGGGAAGTAGTTGTCTAGTCAATGTGCGTTACCAGCAATAAATAGCTGGTGGATATAGGAGCAGCTGCAAATATCCAAGCGTTGCACGCTGGAGACTATTCCTAGTATTTCAGTGTTTTTGTACACATGCTACTGTTGCCATGAGGAGTCACTTAAAAAATGTAGTGGACTGAGGTGTTTTAAGCCTATGTAGACCTAACAGATAAAGCTACATCTTACAGAATTAGCATCCAGTATTGGGTTGCTCAGCTTGTCTGTACAGTTCTTTAAAGAGTTAGGATATGAGATAATCATAGTCCTTAATATTAGAGATGCTAATGTTTGGTAAACTTTGTGCTAGAGTGCAGAAGTTACAAAATGCTTAAAATTAAGTTTAAAAAACTGTACGCAAACATGCATGATTGAATTCTTACCCTTGGCTTGGCAAGTCTTGGATTGTACAGGCATACCTACAAACAGAATTTAACTCGTAGCTCCCAACAGAAAGAGTCAAGTGATACCACAGTGACAGAGGACTAGTTTACATTTCAAATGTAAACCATGATGTAACCATCTCGGGTGACTTTCATTTCTCATTCCAGAAAAGGTTTTCTGCAGTCTGAAGTACCTTTTCAGAGGATGCTTTCTTGTATAAACCACGTCAAAATTCCATGCAGAAGAATAGAGATGAGGTTAGTGAGCATAAGGGAAGATGGCATTTGTGCTGTGCAGTGGTATGTATAGTCGTAATCCCAATCCCAACAGGTGGGAAGCAAAGACCGCTCTTAAAGTTGCATCCATCTATGACTGCCACGCTCAACTACTTGGCACAGCTTCCACTCTGATTACTGTTGCCTCTGGTTTTGTGAACTGATGTTTCAGTCTTTGTAAGGGCATCACTGGACTGAAGCTTGGCATAGCGTAGGAGCAGCGAGGGTACCACAGTTCTGTGAGATCTCAGTAGCATTAGCATCTACAACGGATGAGCTCTGCTGGTCCCTGGAAGAGCTGGGGGCCTTCACGTGACCTTTGTATAAACCAGGGGATTTTGCCCAAAGGGGCAGATTTGATGTGAAGCTGGCAGAACTGTTCCCCTCAGCAGTCAGAACCACCGGCTGTTTATCTGGCACAGCTGGAGCATACACGGCATTTTGCTCTGACAGATGATCTCCACATTGACTAAGATGCTCTGCTAGGACCAGAGGCTGCTGATCATCTCCTTCTTCAGAAATAACAAACACTGGTTTGTTTTTATCTGTTTCTACCATAAGCTCCTTTGTTTTCGAACCATTGACCAAGTTGATTTTCAGTGGGTTGGAGCTCTCTAGAGGATTTTTGGGGCTTTGGCTGTTAACTGGAGATGCTGCCCCTAGATGTCTTGAGGGATCCAGGGACTTCACATGTTTACTATCAGGGGAACTGGCTAAAAATCCAAAATAAGGGTTCCCAAACCTGGATTTCTTCAAATTGCAGGAGCTTAGCTTCCGCTGCCTTTGTGCGGACAGAGTGAGGGGGTAGGAGGCATTGCTGGCAGATGAGTCAGAGTAAACGGTCTCTGATGCTCCCTCTATCTCAGTGGCTGAGATTACCTTTCTGGCTGGGACACCTTGGGATCTTGCAGCTGTAGGAAAACCCTGCGCAATATAATCATAAATTAGTAGACATGCTGTGAAAAGCAGCTGTCTTGAGAAACTTTGATCCCAAGAGAACTAAAAGCTAAAATTCCTTGTTGTGTTAGAGGTGAGATGTGTTCTTTAGCAAAAACCTATGTTATTACCTTAAAAAAAAAAAAGAAACATCCTCTATCAGCTTTGAAACAAGCTGTCCGTTTGATGATTGCAGTCAGTGAGACCTAGATATCTCTCCCATACCTACGGATTCCTTGCAATGCAATAGTAATATGTCAATTAAAATAAATTTAAGGCATAACTAGGGAAAAAAGGTACATGTCAGAACATTAAATGAGATAATCTAGTCTGAAGGCATTTTTAAATGTTCTTCTGGACTGAAAATCATTTCTTAATCAGGTGTTAACTGCTGGGAAATACAGCTTCTTAGTACTTCAAGAAAGCCTGAATGAATTACAGTATAGTTGGGCAAAAGAGTTTCCCACACACCAAGCAAGACGAACCGAAACGTGTGTCACATTTGCGGGTTGGAAGGGCAAAGCAGTAGGCCAAGGGGAAAATGTGTCCCGTCAGCAAGCAGCTGGGGGTATTGGGGCACAGACCCCCTCCTCCCCTCCCTGCAAGACTTACACTGTTGTCAACCAGCTTTGTGAAGGGGCTGTTGGTGGTCCAGCTACACCATTTTTTCTGTAGCTGTGGTATTGGAGCCAGGAAGTCGTGGAACGTGCGGGCGCTCCATGTGCGTTGTCTGGGATAGTGATTTTCCAGCTGGACGTTCCCCTTCTCAACAGCATCTGCTCCTGCAGCTGTGTGGTTAGAAGTCAGCCAGTCAGACACCGAGGCTGGGCTTGTGACACTTCTTTTTAGATTTTTGTCCTGAAAATAACAAATAAAGATTGTTTCATCGAAAGGGTTTTTAAAACACTTTAAGAATATGCTGTTGGCACAAGTGACTGATTTCTTCAGTGGTTCTCTTCTCAGGACAAGACCCAGGAATGCAACTTCTCCTCCTTGCTCTTCCAGCATGCTGCCTGCGGTTCACTGGCTTCCCTGGACGGCAGCTTTACCTTGCTTCCCCAGTTTCAGGTTTAACACTGAATTGGGCAATTTCAGCTACATAAGAAATAAAGTCCTAACACTCCCACTAACTAAATGCATCAAATATCTACAGCTTTATTATACTGAAGATAATCTGACAGATCAGAGGAGTAAACTTCACTGTGTAAAACATAGTTCTGCCGCTCTGCTTGGCTCTTGGAACACTCCAGATGTGTCTGCCTAGGGAAACAAAACATCAAGGCAGATGGGACCCACTGAAAGAAATCCAGAAGCAAGCAATGAGAGAATCAGAATTCTCAAAAAGGCATGATTCAGGAGAGAAAACTGAAGTAAGTGGTGCTCTTTATCCTATGTTAGGGAAGAATTAAGAAAATAAAAAGAATTAAAAACAAAGAGAAAGGGAATAAGCTGTTCTCAGTGTCATATAGAACAAGAGGCACGAGACCCAGATTGGAGTCAAGGAGATTTTTCATTTCCGGGTGGAAAATGTGCTTTAGCAGTAGAACGAGACAGCTAGACAGTGTAAAATTGCTGTCATCGGAAGGTAAGACCACATTAAACCTCTGTCACCAGCTCTGTGTATAGGCAGAGTTGATCTGACGTGGGAATGCACTGTAAACAACTTCTAAAGATCTCTTCAATACTTACTTTATACGTTCTGATGTTGCACTTAAAATCACATTTTTTTCTCCATAATATTGATGTGGGTTTACAGACGGAAAAGTTACAGGATCCCTGACTGTCCTAAGAATCTCCTTTTGCTCTTGCTAATACTTCACCTGTTATTTATATAAGCCCCCTGTTCCCCAACTCCATATGTATTTTTAATTTTCAGCTGTGTGAATATGGTTGTTATGAGAAGAATGCAAAATCCACATTCCCGAAGTTTACATAGTCCTTGAGGAGGGTCTGAAATAAATCCCACACTGTCCTCAATTTAAAAGTCCTGAGAAAAAAGAAACTTGTAATTTGTTATTTCTGTTAAACTGAATCTCTCAAGATTCTGCAAATCAAAGAAACTATTTAGTTAAAATGTCATATTGGAAATGGATGGGCAGAGAGGCAAGAAATTAGCTACTACAGAAAAAAAATTCTCAGTAGGAAGCTGGGAGAGGCTTCAGGCTCTTAGTCTCAGATTTTATGAAAGTAACAATCTTTATTTATGAATTTATAACCCAGTTGTATTCTCAGAAGCCTCTTCAAGCTGTCTTAGGATTTATTATTCTAATATTATCATAATTACCTCCAAACTGGTGCAAAAGCTGGTTTTGAGATAGGTATACTGGAAGCAACTACAAAGACGAATAATATATTGTCTAGATTTTTGCAAATGTTCTAGCAAAAAATGTTTCTTAAACCTCCACGATAATACTCGTTACTCAAACCTTTGCCTCTGAAACTCTAAAACTTGTGATGTCTGACCAGAAGTCAGAGGTCATAGTTACAAGTTAGCCAAAGGCTGAATGATGACTTAAACCAAATGAGACTTAGAAAGCCTCAACCCTGCTGGAGGACGCCTCAGAAGCCATCTGAAAGCCATCCTGCCCTCTCATTCCTCCCGCCAGTCTGCATACAGAGACGTGTGTTTGCTCTCCCAGCTCTTGCCTCCTGACAGGGGATTGGTTTCTTCACCTGGGTTTTAAAAGCTAAAAAGCAAAGGCCAGTCTGTCACTGGCTCCTGCCCAGCAGAGCTGAGGCTCACACCTACCGTGGGGCACAAGACCAAGCGGCCAGCCACCAGTTCTCAGTAAAAAGATCTGGGTAATGTTTCTAATGAAAGCTCCTCAGAGCTTGCTTTGTCTAGTCGAGCATGTTGGGTGAGGTGAGTCTGATGATGGCCTTATTTACTGTACCGTAAAGGCTCAGTGGCTACGCTCCAGTGGATAACTCATCCTGCTTGCCTAGTGCTGGCCCACAAAAGCTGTGCACCATACCCTCTGCGGGGCTCGGAGGCTGAAGTCAGGAGCTGGCTGGCCAGCTGCATTTTACACCCTAAAAATACACATTTAGAAATTAAACTGTAAACATGTTTATTTCTAAGATCCAGTAACCCTGAGTAACCCGAGTGTCCTGAAGAGATCCCGTGTGAGCGCAGGTTTGTAATTAGCCTGCTGTGCTCAGTTGCCATCCCCTCAGAGAGGATAGTCTTCAGCTGGGGAGAAAGACCCAGTGCTTTTAAAGAGGCCCTTTCACCCTTCCTGGGTGGGTTTTCTGCTCCTTAAGGGAGTTGGTTGGTGGTATTGACTCATGTATGTGCAGCATGGACATTGCTGAGCAGAAGATGCCTCCTGAGTTAATAATGTGGTAAATCACTTTAATTCTTTGGGTTACTTTCACTTGGAACTGCTTTAAGTATTTTATTTATCTATATATAAATCTCCTCTGATAGAATGCTTGCAGAAGGGGTGACAGAATTGAAATGTTTTTCTTTATGTGTATTTGTTCATTCAGATTGGGGTGGGGAAAAGAGAAAGGAAAATAGGTTTCACTCTGGTCTAGAAGCTGTATTTGTATGGGACTGCCACCAGGTGAAGCTCTCCCTACTGGAAAGAAGGACCACGGAGTGCAGGTGTTCAAGGGTGCCCAGTTTGGGCACCAGTACAGCTCCCGGGCCCTGCTCTGCAGAAGGTAATGTGTTTAGGCAAGGGAAGGCACCAGAGCTGTTTTTCCTTCTTTCCCTCTTTCTGTTAATCGGTGTGGCCAGCTGGAGGAAGAACTTAGCGTGTGTCTTACACTAGCATAGGAAAATCCTGAGCAGCTTGGCCTCCTGGCTGGTTTCCTAATCAAGTGCAGGGACACAGAATGCTTTTGTTCTGTAAACTGTGACAGAAGTATTACACGGACTCTCCTGGGGCATGCGAGTTCCTTGCACTGGTTGTTTCCCCTCTTGTGGGAAAAGAGAGAGGGCACTGGAGAGGAGAGTATTGACCTGGGAAAGGCTTTAATACAGACTTGTAATGGATGTGCTCCGTCGGGCACTAGGCTCAAGGTTGAAGAGGTGGCAGCCTGACTTGAGACTTCTGAGCTATCATCTGTTTCCAAACAAATAATTGACTAGGAGTGCAGGGGAAAGAGCTAAAATAAGAGGAAAACTTACTGAACGGATTCAGGTTCCTGTGGATGCGTTTGAAAGGACCCTGGTGCTTTCCTTGAAGTGCTTGATTTTTATTTTTTTTTTTTAGCATACACTGTGGTTTTTCACTTCAGCCTGGTGAGACAGTTAACCAGCTTTCTGACAAGCTGAGGAGCTGAGTAACTTCCCTGACCACTTGGTAGCAGTGGGCAGGAGCAGGTCTGACTCCCGGGTCCTTCAGTCGCTACAAGCGATGTTTTTAATGGAACATCATTTTTTTCAATTAACGTATTTCTAAGGACTGGTCCCACTGCCTGCTGGCAGACCTCTGCATTATCGCCCGTCGGATCCGGTAGACTGCTGCTCTTGCTCTTCTCAAAGCTGGGAAGATACTGGCTCGGGGGATCACAGCTCACATCGTTTGATGGCAGCTCAGCTTGAGGCTTAGGAAAAATGCCCGGCAGTCACTGCCTTTCTTGCAAAGTGGGCAGCAAGCGTACATAGACAGGTATGACACGTGCTGTCCAAGAAGGACATCCCGTGGCTTGCTAGAGATGCTGAAGAGCATTCCTACCTGTATTCTGTAGGTGGTAAAGCTCAGCCCACTGGCCCCAGGTCCAGCAGAAATAATAAACACTTCATCGCTCCCGGTCTCAGTGGTCACTGCAGATGTGGAGGAGGGCACATCTGGGTCAGTGTCCTGAGGAGACCGTTCTGTGCTGCCTCCGCAGGAAGCGACTGAGGAAAAAAAGAAGAAAATCAATACAGACTGCTTGCGAGAGTCCAAAACATCTGTTCCCAGCTGCTCCATGACAAACACTCCCCCTCTCTCCCCAGACAATCTAGAGCGGGCTTTGGCTGTCACATCAGCCAGAACAAAACTCAAGCCAACAGTTTGCTCTCCTGAAACCACAAGCTTTTAAAAACAAATCAAAAGGAGAGGAACACCCTTGGGTCTACTTTCTAATAAAGACAGACCCAAGCTGAAATCCCTCATACTAAACACGCAGGGTTGTGCCACAGATCAGAAACTTGCAGACTTGCTCAGCTCATGCTTTATTTGTATTTATTCATCCCCAGTTAATACTGGGAGCTGTGCTTTTTGTTACAAGTTCACTGGAACCCTGGTGATGCTGATCCCACAGGCAACCTTACACTCCGCCACAGGGCTGTGTGCGTACATGTGTCCCTAAGGCCTGTACATATATATGGTCCAGGCTAGGAGAACTCTGGCTGCAACCTCCTCAATGACTTTTCCAAAGAAGGAGGTGGGAAACTGTCATGGTTGGGAGTACAGAATTAGCTTTTTACCAAGATATCCTTGTGAGAGCTATGTGTGTAACGGCTGAGGGTTTAATGGGAAATGAACGGTGTGTAGCAACACAACATGAAGTAGCTCCCTGTTGGCCTTCACCAGCTGAAAGGGGCACTGATATAATTCCTGTGTTGTGACTCAAAATTGCAGCAAGTGACGTTATCTGCAGCTTGGCTGGGGCACTCTTCTTCTGGAAACACCCTGTGAGGTAAACATCATCTAAAGCAGTCCCGTCCATAAAGACCTTCCGAAAAAGCTAGCCCCAGGAGTCAAGGTTGGCCAATGCCAGTGTAAGCATTATAAACCCCATCCTTTCTGGACAAGGTCAGGCACGGGGCACGTGAAACACTTCCACAATTTATGGATCTTTAGAAGTTGTTTGTAGCAGCCTGAACCCGACACATTTGCTCTGCTAACCCAGTGTCTCTGCAATGCCATGTGCTACGACAGCTTCTGTTGGCAGCGTCCTGGAGCCCTGCTTGTGCGTGCTGCTGGCCGGGGGGTTACCCTAGCAGCGAGGGAGAGCTCCCACAGCAAAAGCTTTCTGCCGTGAAGTGGCTCTCCAGCTGTGCCTGGCTGAGACAGCGGGGACGACTGCATGGGAGAAACGATCTGATTAACTGGCCCGGGGCTACGGGGTGCCCTGACCTGCTCCTGCCGGTGCCCTGCGCTTACCCGCCTGCTCCCGGCTGACAGAGTGGTTGTTGTTTTCGTTCTCCCGACTTGGCACCACCAGCTGGAGCTCATTGATATCGACGGCGGAGTTCTGGATCCCGTTCTACAACTCAGAACATGCCCCAGTAAACATCGTCAGATAAACAGTGCACCAGCCAATATGAAAGAGAGAAACAGAAATCGCTGAAGCCATTAGCACTAACCTCCTGGTCACCGCATGCGTTGGATGAGCTCCTTTTGGGGCACGTTCTCTGCCTGAAAAGGAGAGACAGTAACAACAACAAGCCCACGAGCGAGTTGAAGATCCACAGAAGGGAAGGTCTCGGCTGCGCTCATCCCGCGAGGGGGTCGCGGCAGGTTATGAGCTCTCCTGCCTACAGGAGCATCCAAAATACTTGCCAGGACTCGGGGCAACAAAGCCTGTAGGCCGGAGGAGAAAATGATACGCTCATGCAGTGGGAAGTCAGCTGGAGAAGAGAAGGACCTGTCATCTTCTGCCCATGATCGCTGCAGAAGCAGGACCAGAGTTCAGGCCTTTGCCAGTCCCACCGGGCTCCCCCTCGCCGGCTGCCCTTTCACGTCAGTAACTAAGTCGCGGGACTGAAATCCTGCCTTCGGCCTGGGCAGTGACATCGCTCTTATCCCGTTAGACAGAATATTTCTCCTGTGTAGCCAGTATTGCATGCTGGATTGTATTTAGCAAGCAGAGAGCACCAGGTGTTCATTTGTACGAACACTTTATTGGAAGACAGCGGCATGGCAGATGATTACTGGGTAAACATGCCTCTTGGCTGAAGGGAGACAAACGCACGTTCTTAACCACTTTTTCGCATTTTTGCTAAAACCGAGATTATGCAACAACTAGTGTTATTTACTTCTGGACGAATAAGACGTAAAGAAGTCACAGGCAAGGCTGGTAGTAATGAACGCGATAATGACTGAAGCAAGTGTATTTTGTCTTTGTGTGCAGTGGTTCTGCACGGGACAGTTAAGGAGCGTTAAGGCACTGACCAGATAGGATGTGGCCCATGTTACTGTTTTCCCTACTATCTCTGCTGTTGGCTGGTGTTTTTTCCTCTCCTTGTTGGAGAATTTGTTTTTGTTTTTAAGGCATTTAATCTCCCCCATGCAAGTTGGTGGGGGTTTTTTTGGTGGTGATGTGTTGAAGCCAAGATTTCAAGCTTTCAGTCACCATTTCATTACTGTTTGTTTTCAAGAATGGGGGCTCGGGGGCCACCTGATGAGGCTGGCCAGGAGCCAACGTCTGCTCCATCTCGGGCATAGTGGGTCTCATTCCTTCACCGTATCATTGGATCTCTTAAAAATGCTTATTGACTGACAAGTGAATTGAGGGAGGGAAAAAAAAAAGCATGACGCGCCTCAGCCTGTTCTCAGCCTCTGCGAATACAGAGACGACTACAGAAAAAGAGGAGAGCAACTTGGCACTTGAGAATTTAATCCAGAAGAGGTCCAGACAGATAGCTGTTACTCCAGGAGGCACAGTGGCATTGGCCACTGCTTGGGCTTCTCGGGGGAAGTCGGGGCTAAAGCAGCTCTTCAGATGCACTGATTCAGGAACGGGGAGCAGGGAAAGGCTTCCAAGTAGGACTGGTGTTGCCTCATCAAGCAAGATCAAACCAAGTAGGAAACATTTCAGAATGGAAAATGTGTATGTAAATATTCCCCACACACACCAGAAGCTCTTATTGGGCACCAGAACCGTTTCAGC